ACAGATATCTTGGCATCCTGGATAGACGAAGGAGGATACATATATGACTGGAACATCCAAAATGCAACGTCAGGGTCATTCGGAGTGTCCCAAGGGTCCTTGGGCCACCAGATCGTTCCTAATGGAATTAGAATGGAACAGAATGGAACGGAATGGAACGGAACGGAACGGAACGGAACGGAACGGAACAGAACAGAACAGAACAGAACAGAACAGAACAGAACAGAACAGAATAGAATAGAATAGAATAACAAGAGTTGGAAGGGACCTCGGAGGTCTTCTAGTCCAACCCCCTGCTCAGGTGGGAAACCCTACACCACTTCAGACAAATGGTTATCCAACCTCTTCTTAAAAACCTCCAGTGTTGGAGCATTCACAACTTCTGGAGGCAAGTTGTTCCACTGATGAATTGTTCTCACTGTCCAGAAATTTCTCCTTAGTTCTAGGCTGCTTTTCTCCTTGATGAGTTTCCACCCATTGCTTCTTGTCCTGCCTTCAGATGCTTTGGAGAATAGCTTGACTCCCTCTTCTTTGGGTCAGCCCCTAAAATATCAAAACACTGCTATCATGTCTCCCCTAATCCTTCTTTTCATTAAATTAGACATACCCAGTTCCCGCAATCGTTCATCGTATGTTTTAGCCTCCAGTCCCCTAATCCTCTTGGTTGCTCTTCTCTGCACTCTTTCTAGTTTCTGATCTAGTTGTTGAGCAGCTCAGCAAGGTGAGAAGCGAGGATGAAACCTCTCCGAAGCAAAACAGGAATTGGAGCCAGTCTAGGCGATCGATGGTACTGGTAGTCCTTGACTTATTATCGCAATTGAGACCCACATTTCCGTGGCTAAGCGAGACATTTGTTCCGTGAGTTTTGCCACGCTGTATGACCTTTCTGGCCACCATTGTGAAGTGGATCACTGCAGTTGTTAAGTTAGTAACTGTTAAGTTACTAAGTGAATTGGGTTCCCCCGTTGACTTGGCTTGTCAGAAGGTCGCAAAAGGGGGATTATGTTGACCCCGGGATGCTGCAACCATCCGAATTTTGGTCACATGACTAGAGGCTGCAGACCGAAGTGGTGGGCAAAATGCAAAACTGTGGACACTGATATGACGGGAAAGAAGGAGAAAAGGAGAAAAGGAGAAGGAGAAGGAGAAGAAGGAGAGGGAGAGAAGAAGAGGGAAAAGAAGAGGAGGAGGGGGAGAAGAAGGAGAAGGAGAGGGAGAAGAAGAGGAGGAGGAGGAGGGGGAGGAGAAGGAGGAGGAGAAGGAGGAGGAATAGAGGGAGAGGAGAAAAGGGGGAGAAGGAGAGAGGGAGAAGGAGAAGAAGAGGAGGGGGAGAAGGAGAGGGAGAAGGAGAAGAGGAGGAGGGGAGAAGAAGGAGGAGGAGAAGGAGGAGGAATAGAGGGAGAGGAAGAAGAAGGGAGGGAAGGAGAGGGAGAAGAGAGGAGAAGAAGAGGAGGGGGAGAAGGAGAGGGAGAAGGAGAAGAGGAGGAGAGGAGAAGAAGGAGGAGGAGAAGGAGGAGGAATAGAGGAGAGGAAGAAGAAGGGAGAAGAAGAGAGGGAGAAGGAGAAGAAGAGGAGGGGGAGAAGGAGAGGGAGGAGAAGAGGAGGAGGGGGAGACAAGGAGAAGGAGGAGGAGGAGGAGGAGGAGGAGGAGGAGGAGGAGGAGGAGGAGGAGGAGGAGGAGGAGAAGACCACACATCTTCAAGTGTCCAAAGTTGAGAAACATTCTTCTAAAGCTTCCACCTCCCTTCTTCAGCTGTGATTAAACATACCAAATGTTACCTGGAGTAGCACCTGAGAAGAAATGCAGGAGGTTGCCTTACTCTAAGTCAGCTCACTAGTCCATCCACTTCCATAATACGGCTGACCACTGATTTGATGCAGTTCTCCAGGATTTGGAGCATAGGAATTTCTCCAGCTCTATTAGAAGTGCCACGTTTTATGCCGATATGCATTGGAGGTGCTAAGAATCCAATCTGGAACCTCGATCTACAACGCTCAATGCGAATTTTCTCCTTCCCTCGGTCATTTCAGCAAAACTAGTTGTGAGCTACCCAGCTCTGTCTGGACCAACGATATTTCTCCGCCGCGGCCACTTGCAGACGTGTGGACTTCGACTCCCAGAATTCCCCAGCCTGCTGAGGAATTCTGGGAGTCGGAGTCCACAAATCTGCAGGGTGCCAGGGTGAAGAAACGCTGAGGAAGAAGCAAGACGCACGAGAGCTTTGCATACAAATTATTTAAAAAATAAAATCATCAGCGGTTTTTGTAATGTCTGGCAGGGGTGGGTTCTACTTACCTTTACTACCGCTTCGCATCGTGCCAGCGCACGCTTCGCTCACACGCACAAGCGCTCTTCTGAACATGCACAGATCGCCTATGATGACATCCAGGTCAGTGGGCAGAGCCTCCCATTGGTTTTATTACCGGTTCTTGCGAACCGGTCTGAACCGGGAGCAACACACCACTGGTGTGTGGTCCAAAAAAGGAGAGCCCTTTTCAAACTACATGGATCTCCTGTAGCCAGTTTGCACCAGGACTGCTGTTTACGGTTTGTCTGCAGGGGTGGGCTTCAAAAATTTTAGCAAGGGGTTTTCTGCCCCTTTGCTCGGTGGGTGTGGCCCTGGTGGGCGTGGCCTAGTCAGCCTCCTGCACCACAGCAATGGGGGGCTGTTTTTGCCCTCCCCAGGCTCCGGAGGCTTTGCTTGAGCTTCCAGGAGGGCGAAAACGGCCTCCCCAGGCTCCGGAGGTTCTCCTGAACTTCCGGCAGGCCCATTTTTCACCCTCCCTGAGCCTCCATGTGCACCCTGCACTTACCTGCATCCAAAACGGGCCACGTGGAGACTCCTGGGAGGGGCGGGGCAAGGTGGGTGGGGCCAGCCAGGAGCGGGATTTGGGCAGGGGCAGGTTTCAAAACCCATCGCTGCTGGTTCGCTCGGGGGCGCTCGTGCGTTCACGCGCGCAACTCTTCTGTGCATAGACCCAGGTGGGGGGCGGAGCCTCCCGCCCCAGCCGCTACTCTTCGCCCAATCCGGGGCGAACTGAGAGCAACCCACCACTCAATTTGGGGGGTTCTCCGAACTGCACAGAATCTTAGTTAGAGGTTCTCCCGAACCCCTGCGAACTCCCAGCAGCCCCACCCCTGGTGGTCTGTATTTTCTGACCTTCACAATGACAGTCTAAAGTTTTAGCAAAGTATTTAGAGTTTTATGACTGTGGGTCTCCAAATACATTTTTGCTTTTTTTTTTTTAAAAAAAAATTTTTGATTTATATGCCGCCCTTCTCCAGAGACTCAGGGCGGCTTACAATGTGTTAAGCAATAGCCTTCATTCTTTTGTATATTTTATACAAAGTCAGCTTATTGCCCCCACAAACTGGGTCCTCATTTCACCTACCTTAGAAAGGATGGAAGGCTGAGTCAACCTTGAGCCTTGGCGAGATTCGAACCCTGCAGTAATTGCAGGCAGCTGGTCTTAAGCAGCTTAATAACAGGGTGCCTTAAACCCTAGTACTACCAAGGCTCTTCTTGGCTTTTCCTTTTCTTTTTCATTTTTTTAATAATTCCAACAATACAAGCATGATCTTGAATACAGTGACACCAGCTGGCAAAGAGTGAAATGGTCATTCTCTCGGATGACCAGAAGTCAACCCCCTACTAACATGGTCGTTAAGCAAATCTGGCTTCCCCGTTGATTTTGCCGATTCAGAAGGACACAAAAGGAGATTTCCCCGGAACACTGCAGCAGTCATAAGTATGAGTCAGTGTCCAAGCGTCCGAAATTTTGATCGTGTGATCCAACGGTTGGGTGAAAAATTGTCGCGAGGCACTTTTTTTCAGTGCCGTTGTAACACTGGTCACTAAATGAACTGTTGTTGTAAATCAAGGACGGCCTCTGCAATATTCCCTTCCCTCCCAAGACACAGGCGTCTTTCTAAAACATGACAAATCTGGAATTACTAAACGCTTCAAATATTCTATTACCGCCCGTCTCTGTTCTGCATCGGGCAGCTGAGACACCTCTAATGCAACAGATTCCTCCAGCTGTTGTAGCCAATTCAAAGGCCACCTTTGTTTCTGGAAAGCTTAGAAACGGTTACTTTTGGGTAAGGATGAGACTTAACCAGCTGTTTCACACAACGCGGAGCAGTTTGGGTCCCGTTTCCCCCCCCCCCAAAAATGAAGGCAACCAGGTTCTTCCAAAATAAACCCGCTAATGCGAACCAGCAGCTGGATCGACTGGATTAATGTAAAAACGCATTGCCCTTTTTAAAAAAAACGAATAATAAAGCAGGATTTTTAGAGAGTTTTGGACAGGTGAAAACAACGGAGAGGTGAAGCATAGGATCAAATGTTCGTTAGGGAGACAAAAATACTGTTGGGGGAAGGGTTTTGATGCAATCCACGTTTTGGCTGAAAGCCGATCTGGATATTCGATACCCATCATCAGTCTTAGAAGGGAGTGGGGTTTGCGGAGAGGAGGGAGGAGGAGGAGGAGAAAGAGGAGGAGGAGGAGGAAGGAAGAGGAGGAGGAGGAGGAGGAAGGGAATTGAGGAGTCCTTGGTGCTTTCTGAGCTTGGTTGTTTTCTTGCTTATGTTTCATTACCCAACAAGGCTACATCATCAGTCCTAGAAGGGAGTGAGGTTTGCAGAGAGGAGGGGGAGGAGGAGGAGGGGGAGGAGGGGAGGAGGGAGGAGGAGGAGGAGGAGGAGGAGGAGGAGGAGGAGGAGGAGGAGGAGGAAGGGAATTGAGGAGTCCTTGGTGCTTTCTGAGCTTGGTTGTTTTCTTGCTTATGTTTCATTACCCAACAAGGCTACATCATCAACCTAGAAAGGGTGAGGTGTCAGCATTCCAGAAAACCCCCAACGTTTGCAATGGGGAGGGGGGAGGAAGAGGAGGAGGAGGAGGAGGAGGAGGACTGTGAGGTCCTTGGTGCTCTCTGAGCTTGGTTATTTTCTTGCAGATGTTTCATGAGCAAACTAACATCCTAGATCCCAACCTACCTTCTCTCATTGTCGTCAAGGTGAGCGAAGAGGACATTCTTTGAGATAGCCTTGGCTAAAGCTGTCATAGTCTTATAGTCCTTTGGAATAACCTGGAATGGAAAAGCAGGGAGGAGCAGAAGCCAAAGTTAGGAGCGAGCAGAACTCCAGAGGATTACTAAGAGATCAGCCCAGACTCCTGTCGTAGTCTTTGTAGGGGAGCCACGTTAATGTACAACAGCCAGAAATCAGGGCTCTTTTCCGACTAACACATTTGATGAAGAGTTTTGTATTTAGACTAATTAAAGAAAAGCAATCACAAAGCAACTTCATCATTCCAGACCCGAGTTAAGCTTCCAGAAATGACTTTGCTATACAACTTTTTGAGAGAATTATGAAATTGCTTAATCTGAAATATTAAACGGTGCCTCGAGCATCAAACATCATCTAGAAAATGCTGAATTAACTGATTCTGGTCTCACCGGAAAAAAAAAACACATAATCTCTCCCCTGGTATAGCCGACAAAGCAAGGAGAGCCCGTGGCTTAGAGGTTAATACATCTACCTAATGTGTGAGCAGCCCAAGTTGTAATCCCAGAAGGATATGGCTAGCTGATGAGCGCTAAATAGCTTGAAATAAATAGATCTATACTAGTCTCCCTTTATTTCTTTGTCAGTAAAATATAAATTTAACACAAAATAGTTTGTCGTGAAAGCGACTGCCTGCGAAGGCTCCTGGATTGGGGCTGAAAGGCGAAAGGGAAGCAGTATGGCTCAATCCCATATTTGGATAGACCAGGTTGCCCTGATTAAATATATATATATATTTAATCTCCCCCCTGGTAGAGCCAAAAAAGCTAGGAAAGCCCATGGTTTAGAGCAAGAGTCAGCAACCCGCAGCTCTGGAGCCGCATGTGGCTCTTTCATCCTTCTGCTGCAGCTCCCTGTTGCTGGTCGGCTCCACAATTGATAGGGCTTTCGGTTAGGACAGGTAGAGGAAAAAGGACTCCGCACTAGGAGCAGACTCTATGGTGGGGGAACCGACTTCCAGTCGACAGAGGAAAAGGGATGCCGTGCTAGGAGGAGACTCTATGGTGGGGGGGGGAACTGGACTTCCAGTCGGCTCCAGAATTGAATGGGGGCTTCCGGTTAGGACCTTTGTGGCTCTTTGAGTGTTTAAGGTTGCCGACCCCTGTTCTAACTGAATTGAACCAACGGTGCAGGCCAGAAGCAAATCAGAATTAGCTTGTAAGGAGCATCTAATGGGAATTTTTTTTTTTTTGTTTTGAAGGCTGAATAGCAAATAATTCAGCATCTGGCAGAACTTAATATTATTTCTTCAAATGCATCTTAAAGCAGCGTGATGCATTAATTATGGTTCTGAACGTTGGGTGGGTGCCAGGTTTACTTTCACTGAAACGCTGGGACAGAATATAGATGTGATTGGGTATTAAAAAAATCAGGAGTGAACATTGCAGGATCCATCCATAAAATCCTTCTGAACATAATAATGGCTATTTTGGGGACCTGACCAAGCTTTCTTGGGGCAGACGTTCTGGAGAGAATCGATAAATTTATAGAATTTATAAAAACACAAATCGATAGAATCACAGCCCACCACTCAAAAAGGCTAATCGAGGTCCCCCGAGCCATAAGAAAATTCTGCTTTCCTAAATAAGTCTGTCTTTTTTTTTTAAAAAAAAATTTGATTTATATGCCGCCCTTCTCCGGAGACTCAGGGCGGCTTACAATGCGTTAAGCAATAGCCTTCATACTTTTGTATATTTATACAAAGTCAGCTTATTGCCCCCACAAACTCGGTCCTCATTTCACCCACCTTAGAAAGGATGGAAGGCTGAGTCAACCTTGAGCCTGGGGAGATTCGAACCTGCAGTAATTGCAGGCAGCTGGTCTTAATAACAGGGTGCTTTAGACCACTGTACTACCAAGGCTCTTGGTAGATGATGTATGAATGTTTTGGATGTGTGGAAACTACCTGGAAAAGACCCTGGAGTTTTCTTGGCAAGGTTTTTCAGGAGTCATTTGCCATTGCCTCCTTCCTAGGGCAGAGAGAGAAGGACTGGCTCAAGGTCAACCAGATGTCTTCATGCCAAAAGTGGGACTAGGGCTCACCATATCCTCACCATAATTGGCTCAAAATCACCCAGCTGATTTTCCTGGCTAAGACAGAACTAGAATTCACCGTCTCCTGGTGATTGGCCCAAAGTCACCCAGTGGCTTTCACACCTAAGGCAGAACTAGAACTCACGTCTCCTGCTTTCTAGACCAGAACTTTTAACACTGCACCCAATTAGCTTTTGATGTCTCCCTGAAACACAATTTGCATGCATCATTTACAGCAACCGTCCAAGAATAGCAATATAGTATTACCTTCCGGACATAAGACACCGCATCTTCTTCTGTGTAGACCTCAGCACTGACCCCTCCTCTTCGATGTCGGGCTTTGACCACCGGGTTGGGTGGCGGAGGAGAAACTTCATCGTCATGAGAATCTGATTGAGAGCTGGATTTCTGCCAAGCCTGGATCTGTTTGCTTTCTTCCTGTGACGACGAAAAAAAAAAGCCGGAGAGATTTGGTTCTTGTGGCCATGAAGCCATAAAGTTCACGCGGGCAGTCCTTGACTTAGGACCCCAGTTGAGAATCAGAATTTCCCACTGCTCTGCAAAGCAACTTCAAAACCATGTTGTTCCGCCAGGCTGGGCTATCGATGTAAAGATTTTAATTGGTTTTAAATGGGATTTTAAAATTGGGGTTTTATAAACTGGGCCTATTATTTAATAATTTTAATTATTTTTAGATTTTATTATTATTTATTTATTATTTTATTTTTCATATTTGTATACCGCCCTACTCCCGAAGGACTCAGGGCGGTGAACAGCCATAATAAATACAAATACATATAGAAGTTAAAAACTATTAAAAAACAGATTAAGTAATTTAGGCTCAAAGATTAAAAACATCCAAATTTATCTAAAGAGGTTTAAAACCCAATTTAAAAGCCAGTTTAAAAGCCAATTAAAAAGGGAGAGTTAGGCCAGACCAGCTTGTTGGAATAGAAATGTTTTCAGGGCACGGTGGAATATGCGTAAGTCTTGGATGTTTCGTAACTCTGGGGGAAGCCCGTTCCAGATGGTAGGTGCCCCCACAGAAAAGGCTCTCCCCCTGGGAACTTGTCTGTCTTTGTGTTTTTTAATTAGGCTGTACACCGCCCTGAGTCCTTCGGGAGAAGGGCGGTATAGAAATAAAATTAATTAATTAATTAATTAATTAATAAACTGTTGAGTGAGTCGCGCCCGATTTTGTGACCGGTTTTCCCCACGGTTGTTGAATCATCTGATAGTAGAGCAACCGCTGTAAACACATGCCTGTTAACCAGCTCCCAAATTTTGATTTATTTATTTATTTATTGGTTCGATTTATATGCCGCCCTTCTCCGGAGACTCAGGGTGGCTTACAATGCGTTAAGCAATAGCCTTCATACTTTTGTATATACCTGCTTAGTAGGGCTTTCGGGCCCCCCCTAAGCGGTGTTCTTTTTTATACAAAGTCAGTTTATTGCCCCCATAATCCGGGTCCTCATTTTACCTACCTCGGAAGGATGGAAGGCTGAGTCAACCTTGAGCCTGGTGAGAATTGAACTCGCAGTAATTGCAGGCAGCTGGCAGCTAAGTGCTACTTAACAGCACTTTAGTCCACTGCGCCACCAAGGCTCCTTTGATCACATGATCGTGGGAATGCTGCAATCCTAAGTGCAAGGACCAAGTCATAAGTCTCTTTTTTCAGTGCCGTCGTAACTCCAAACGGTCGCTAAACGATCGGTCGTAAGTCAAGGACTACCCATACACCATTCCCCTCCCATCTTCATTTCCGGTTCTTCTGAAACAAAGCTTTAGCCAAGGCAGTCTTGGCATATTGTAGCTGGAACGAATGAGACTATTTAGAAGATCATTTGCATTGGGCAAAAATCCAATGATGGGACTTTAAAAATGGTTTAAACAGCCACTGAATTCCTATCTAGTGAAGTCCCTACAGAGAAAGGCGCAGATTGGGCCTCCTGGGGGAGTTTCTTTGAATTGCAAACTCCCAAAACATTATATATATATATAAATGTGTGTATATATATATACCCAAGATAATAGACACTGTAGATTATTACTTTTGGAGATTTTTACAGGAGCTTCACAGGCGAGCTGTCCCACAAATACCAAAACACTGCAGAAGAATAGATGGGGAGATGTTTGTCCATGCATCCGTCCATCCGTCCGTCCATCTGTCCATCCATTCATCCATTGATCTTTCTATCCCACCACCTACCATTTTGTTTTTCACACAGTTTTTTGATGAGGAACAATGAGGTGTCCCACAAATATCAAAACACTGCAGAAGAATAGATGGGAGATGTTTGTCCGTCCATCCGTCCATCCATCCATCCATCCAACCATCCATCCATTCATCCTCGCATCTATCCAACCATCCATTCATCCATCCATCTATCCCACCACCTACCATTTTGTTTTTCACACAGTTTTTGGATGGAGAACAAGGAGGTGTCCCACAAATACCAAAACACTGCAGAAGAATAGATGGGGAAATGTTGGTCCATCCATCCATCCATCTATCCATCCTTCCATCCCACCACCTACCATTTTGTTTTTCACACAGTTTTTTGATGAGGAACAAGGAGGTGTCCCACAAATATCAAAACACTGCAGAAGAAAAATGGGAGATGTTTGTCCATGCATCCGTCCATCCATCCAACCATCCATCCATTCATCCTCGCATCTATCCATCCATCCATTCATCCACCCATCCATCCATCCATCTATCCATCCTTCTATCCCACCACCTGCCATTTTGCTTTTCACCCAATTTTTTGATGGAGAACAAGGAGCTGTCCCACAAATACCAAAACACTGTAGAAGAATAGATTGGGAGATGTTTGTCCATCCATCCGTCCATCCGTCCGTCCATCCATTGATCTTTCTATCCCACCACCTGCCATTTGGCTTTTCACATAGTTTTTTGATGGAGAACAAGGAGGTTTCCCACAAATACCAAACACTGTAGAAGAATAGATGGGGAAATGTTGGTCCATCCATCCATCTATCCATCCATTCATCTATCCATTCTTCTATCCCACCACCTACCATTTTGTTTTTCACACAGTTTTTTGATGGGGAACAACGAGGTGTCTCACAAATATCAAAACACTGCAGAAGAATAGATGGGGAGATGTTTGTCCGTCCGTCCATCCATCCATCCATTCCCACCACCTGCCATTTTGCTTTTCCCATCATTTTTGGGAACAGCCAACATGACACAGCAACCAACTGGGCTTCACAATGCACTGTTGTGCCATGTGCGGTCATGCCAAACCCCTCCCAAGGCTTTGACTGCTCTCATATTACGTTGAGGGAGGAGATAATTTAGGAAATGCGTCTACTAAATAGAAAGCTGCGGAGGTGGAAACAGATCGGGTATCTGCGGCCCGGATAGGAGACATGTGGTTAATGATCACCTTAATCAGCTGGTCGTTCAGGAAATGACTTATGGTTTGCTCATCCAAGGTAACGAGAGGAATTAAGAGAAGCGCCTTAAGGCTGCTTCTTAATGCAGTGGGACCTTCCCGAAAGTCCCAAGAACCACCCATGTTCAAAGTTCAATGATCGGGCAGTAGAGCGAGCCTCTTCCTTCCTTCCTTCCTTCCTTCCTTCCTTCCTTCCTTCCTTCCTTCCTTCCTTCCTTCCTCCCTCCCTCCCTTCCTCCCTCTTTTCCTTCCTTCCTTCCCTCTCTCCCTCCTTTTCCTTCTCTCCCTCCCTCCTTTTCCTTCTTCCCTTCCTTCCTCCCTCCTTCCTTTTCCTTCCTTCCCTCTCCCTTTTCCTTCCTTCCTTCCTCCCTCCTTCCCTCCTTTTCCTTCCTTCCTTCCCTCCCTCCCTCCTTTTTCTTCCTTCCTTCCTTCCTCCCTCCCTCCTTCCTTTTCCTTCCTTCCTTCCCTCCCCCTTTTCCTTCCTCCCTCCCCCCTCCTTCCTTCCTTCATTCCTTCCTTCCTTCCTTTCTTCCTCTCATTCATCCACCCATCTTCCTTCCTTCCTTCCTTCCTTCCTTCCTTCCTTCCTTCCTTCCTTTCCCCAGGAGTGACATTCCCCAAATATCTTGGAATCTCAATTTCTTTTCATTTATTTATTAAATTCGCCCACTGCCGGTCTCGCCAGGAATTCTTTATTTGTTAAAAGCAGTTGGCCATCGGTCAGTTTCGGACGAGCAGAGTCGGGGGGGTGCCCGAATTCACTTAAGGGCCTCCTGGTTCACTTAAGAACAATCCATTCATTTAACAACAGTGGCATAAAAAAAATTGGGCATGATTCGGTGCCGGGTCAGAGGCCGCACAGGCACGACGCGGTCCAAGGCCCCGGCGGCCGCACTATCCCAGACGGCCACCAGGTCCTCAGCCGAGTCATGAGCCAGAGTCTCAGGGATTGGCCCAAGCTCCATCTGGAACCTATCAGGATCCATCAGGCGCCTGGGGCGGAACCACCTGGTCGGTTCCGCCTCCCTGCGGCGGGGTGTAGCGGTTAGAAAGTCTAGTCGAAGGAGGGAGTGGTCAGACCACGACAAGGGTTCGATGACTATATCCCCTATATCAAGGCCACTCGACCACTGACCAGAGATAAAAATTAAGTCCAGAGTGTGTCCACCTATGTGAGTGGGGCCATGAATTAACTGAGTCAGGTCCATGGCTGTCATGGAAGCCAGTCCTAATTCAGACCGTGCTTTTTCCAAGGGGTGAGGAACCACAACAGACACCCCACAAGAAGCTCTCAAAGATATCTTACAATTCCTATGCAAGACTTTTCCGCGTTTTCCACTACTCACTAAATTCACTGGCACGGGATTATCTTCCAAGAGGTATTCTTTTGGCGAAATTCTCCTAGGTCTTGGTCTGACGCTTAGGAAGAAGAGGACCAAAATAAGTATGCATGAATGACCTTGGTTAGCACATCAGACAGCCCCCCGCCCCTTCACTTGGCTTCCTATTTTTCCAGTTAATCCCAAACTAGAAGGCTTCCCATTGGACATTCTCCTTTAAATTTTCCTGACAGTTAGAACAATTCATCAGTGGGACAACTTGCTACCAGAAGTTGTGAATGCTCCAACACTGGAAGTTTTTAAGAAGGGGTTGGATAACCATTTGTCTGAAGTGGTGTAGGGTTTCCTGCCTTAAGCAGGGGGTTGGACTAGAAGACCTCCAAGGTCCCTTCCGACTCTGTTATTCTATTCTATTCCTTTCAAGCTATTCTCCAAAGCACCTGAAGGTAGGACAAGAAGCAATGGGTGGAAACTAATCAAGGAGAGAAGCAACTTAGAACTAAGGAGAAATTTTCTGATAGTGAGAACAATTCAACAATGCCTCCAGAAGTTGTGAATGCTCCAACACTGGAAGTTTTTAATAAGAGGTTGGATAGCCATTTGTCTGAAGTGGTGTAGGGTTTCCTGCCTAAGCAGGGGGTTGGACTAGAATTGCCCCCCAAAAATGGTGTTATTAGCTAGTTTTAGAAAATACACTTTTCCCAAAAGGTTTCCCCAATTTTGGCCACTACTGTAACTTGTATGAGGGACGGTTGAGGGACCCAGGCTTGTCTAACTTATCGAAGAGAAGGACTGGGGGGACAGGATAACGGTCTTCCGATACTTGAGGGGCTGTCACAAGGAAGAGGGGGTTGACTTATTCTCCCAAGCACCAGAGGGAAGGACCAGAAATCATGGATGGAAGCCAGTTAAGGAGACACCCAACATAGAAGCAAGGAGAAATCCTCTGAGAGAACAATGAAGAACAACTAGCTTGCCTTCCAGAGTTGTAAGTGCTCCATCACTGGGAGTTTTCCAAAATAGACTGGACAATCATTTGACCAGGACTGGTTATAAGTTCTCCTGCCTTGAGCAAGTTGGTTGAAGACTAGAAGACATCTATCTGAGATCTCTTCCCGCCCCGTGATTCTATCTTCAATGTTCTCCCAACGCCATCATTCTATGATTCTACAATTCTCTTCTGGGAACGACGTCTGAATGGCAATCCAGAAGAAGCCAGAGAAAAAGAGGTGGAACCGAAAGCCATCATAGAACCCTTTCTAACAAGAAAGTCAGTGCAAACCGTCCCCGTGGAAAACCTTCCCAAACCCTCCAAAAACAGAAGTCCAAAACTAGAAGTCTCTCGCACGACAGGAGAAAGAAAACTTGCCGAGAAGCACAAATCTCATCACATCGTTATGACGGAGCCACCAATGACAGCGTCGCGCACTCAGCCACACAACAACTCTCTCTAAGAAGTCCAGGGGTGCGTGCGAGACACCACAGAGCATCAATTCTGAGCAAGCAGCGGGAAAGCCATACCTTTATCATTGCAGTTAAGGATCGCTGACCCACCAGATCGACCATGTTTCCAGAAACCACAGCAGAGCAGAGGGACAGGAAATCTCAGGGCCGCCTGATTTCTCCTCTCAGGGAGGGGCCTTGCCCATCCCAAACTGTGCGAGTGCCAAACGGCAACACACCTCCTCCTCATCTTCATCAAAAAAATCCCCTCTTCTTCCACACCCCCATCAAGGCAGCTCCGTCATCATCGGAAAGACGGGATAGTTGGGATTCAGCTGGCTTGGGTCCATGATCCAGAAACGCAGGAGGCTTTCACCCAGCTCCCCGAAGCTGAGGAGCCCACGTTCCTTGCAAGGAAAAAACAAAATCTATCCATCCTGCATAGAAGGAGGTTTTTCCAGGTGGAAAAATACTGCAGAGTTCGCCTCCGGCTCTCTAATATTTGGATAGAGACGTGTCATAAATACTTTGACCTCAAATACTCAAAATCTTCCCTTATACACAACTGAAGGTGCCTTGTAAAAACTGTCACGGATTCTCCTTATTATTATTATTTTTTGCTAATATCCTTCCCTCCATTCAGGGATCAACTGATGATCAATTGGCTACTCAAATATCCCCAGCTCCTACACCCCCCACTCACCCCCCCCCCACCCTTTCTTGGATTCCAAACACACTTTGCAAAGATCCTCCCTCGATAACAAGCATCTGTGAGACGGATGAGCTTCAACCTCAGCCTCTCGAAGAGCATTTGAAAAGCTTGAAATCCAAATATTCAAACCGGGAAATATATATATATATATCAATGCCTCTTAATAAGGTACCGGTGAAATAACACCGAAGGGCATTCTTCAAGAAGGAAAGGAGAAAGATTCTAGAAGCTGCACCACCGTTAACCCTTAGCTAGATCTTCTTCAACCGCCACCCCAGATGGGAAATAGAAACAGAAGCAAGTTACCATATAGTTTCTCTTCCGTCCGTGTCTTTATGAAAGCATCTCTGCTACACAGCTCCACTGTCAGCTGGTGCAAATAAGAGACAAGCTAACATTTCTATGCATTGCTAATTCACTGCTAGGCATAAGAGCTCCTCTCTCGAATGTTTCAAGCCCATAAGTCTCAAGGATACACCAGGATCTACAGATCAGCTTGTAAAAAATAAAAAATAAAAGGAACATTCCTTAGGACTTTAAACACATAAAAAGGTAAAGGTGTTCCTCTCGCACATATGTGCTAGTCGTTCCTGACTCTAGGGGGCGGTGCTCCTCTCCGTTTCAAAGCCGAAGAGCCAGCGCTGTCCGAAGACGTCTCTGTGGTCATGTAGCCGGCATGACACAACGCCAAAGGTGCACGGAACGCTGTTCCCTTCCCACCAAAGGTGGTCCCTATTTTTCTACCTGCTTTCGAACTGCTAGGTTGACAGAAGCTGGGACAAGTCACGGGAGCTCATCCCGTTACGCGGCACTCGGGATTCGAACCGCTGAACTGCCGACCTTTCAATCGACAAGCTCAGCGTCTTAACCTACATACACACACATACACATACACATTTACATACATATACACACACCTTTTGCCATCGCAGATAACACGCGCCCTTCACCCTTCACCCTCACCCCTAAATTCCCGTACCGAGTCTCGGGGAAAGGGATAATAAATAAAACCTTCTCCGAAAGCAGCCCTTCAAAAAAGCCGCTCCTCAAAAGTGGATTCTTGCAAATCTTTCCAGAAAATTCCCTGTCGCTGGAATCTCACCCATCCTTCACAAACACAGAGAAAAAGAGAGAGACTCACACACTGTTGCCATGACATCCCGTGCCTCTGCGGGAATGGATGACATCTGTCATTCACAAGTACGGATGTGACAGGGGGTGAACTTCCATTCTTGGAAGGTGGCTTGGACCAAACTAAATCCTGTTGGTGTTGTTGAGCGCCAAGACGGCCTTGAGATTCAACCCAGATTCAAGGTGTGGGAAGTCCTACAGGAGGTTCAACCATCTCATCATCTTACCAAGCAAGAAAATATTGGCAATTTTTATATTACCAGAGACTGTGGAGGCCAAACGCAGAGGAAGTCCTTAACTCATAGCCTGAGCAGTGGTGAAATCCAATATTTTTTCCTACCAGTTCTGTGGGCGTGGCTTTGTGGGTGTGGTGTGGCTTGGTGGGCATGGCAGGGGAAGGATTTTGCAAAATCTCCATTCCCACCCCACTCTGGGGCCAGCCAAAGGTGGTATTTGCTGGTTCTCCAAACTACTCAAAATTTCCACTACCGGTTCTCCGAATTGCTCAAAATTTCCGCTACTGGTTCTCCGAACTGCTCAAAATTTCCGCTACCAGTTCTCCGAACTGCTCAAAATTTCCACTACTGGTTCTCCGAACTGCTCAAAATTTCCGCTACCGGTTCTCCGAACTGCTCAAAATTTCCGCTACTGGTTCTCCGAACTGCTCAAAATTTCCGCTACCGGTTCTCCAAACTGCTCAAAATTTCCGCTACCGGTTCTCCGAACTGCTCAAAATTTCCGCTACTGGTTCTCCGAACTGCTCAAAATTTCCGCTACCGGTTCTCCAAACTGCTCAAAATTTCCGCTACCGGTTCTCCAAACTGCTCAAAATTTCCGCTACCGGTTCTCCAAACTGCTCAAAATTTCCACTACCTGTTCTCCGAACTGCTCAAAATTTCCGCTACCGGTTCTCAGAACTGCTCAAAATTTCCGCTATCGGTTCTCTGAACTGCTCAAAATTTCCGCTACCGGTTCTCCGAACTACTCAAATTTTCCGCCACCGGTTCTCCAGAACCTGTCAGAACCTGCTGGATTTCACTCCTGAGCCTGAGGTTCTACAAAGATTCATATTCTATGTTAAACCATAGCTAGTTCATCTGTGGTTTGCTCAATCGACCAACATTAGTTGCATTCACACAACAACATACAGCCATCAACCATAGCTTAGATAACACAATGGTTAGAGTCACCCAAACTCTGAAGAATCAAACCACAGGAACTTTAGACCATGGGTGGACTCGGCTCATATATTTTAGCTACAATCTCATTCCCATTGTACATGTTCCTGGGTTCCCAAGGTTTGCTCCATTTCCTGGGTGTGATGGACACACTGAACTAAACCAACCAGCTTTTGTTAAAATGGAGTTGTGTAGAAGGCAAGAATCCCTAGCTCGCTTTCTGTTAGATACAGGTCATCCTCGACTTGCAACAGTTCATTTAGTGACCGCTCAAAAGTTACAACGGCACGGGAAAATGTGACTCGTGACCGTTTTTCACACTTACAACTTTGTAGCATCCCACATAATCGTGCGATCAAAAATTCAGACACTAGGCAACCTAGGTTCATATTTAGGACCGTTGGTACAGTGGTGGGTTTCAAAAATTTTTACTACCGGTTCTGTGGGCGTGGCTTGGTGGGTGTGGCAGGGGAAGGATGCTGCAAAATCTCCATTCCCACCCTAATCCAAGGGAAGGTTACTGCAAAATCCCCATTTCCTCCCGATCAGCAATGACTCAGGAGGCAGAGAATAGATGGGGGCGGGGCCAGTCAGAATTTTTACTACCGGTTCTCCGAACTACTCAAAATTTCCGCTATCGGTTCTCCAGAACTGGTCAGAACCTGCTGAAACCCACCTCTGTGTTGCTGTGTCTCAAGGTCACGTAATTGCGACCTTTTGACAAGTCAACGGGGAAACCGGATTCCCTTAACAACAGGGTTACTAGTTTATCATCTGCAGTGCTTCACTTATCGACGGTGGCCAGAAAGCTCGTAAAATGGGACAACGCTCACTTAAACCGATGTTTCGCTTAACCACAGGGGTTGTGGCCTCCATTGTGGTCATTACGTCGAGGATTAGCTGCAGAAACTCAGAAAGAGAGCTCGCTTAACAACGATCTCACTTAGCAATGGAATTTTTGTGGTCGTTAAGTCAAGGACTATCTGGACACAGGCCATAGGGCTGTGATGGCGAGCCTATGGCATGTGTGCTGGAAGTGGCACACAGGGGCATCTCTCCAGGCACACCAGCCATTCCCTGTTGCTCTTCCAGATTCTGATCCACACATGCACACCGGACAGCTGGTATTCGCGTGCTCAGGAGTGCTGAAAACCAAAAGAGCAGCTCCCTGGCACGCATGAGCATGCTGGTAAGCTAAGCTTCTCGTTTCTGGCGTGCAGATGCATGCCGGCCACCTGGTCTTCACTCGCGCATGTGCACCAGAAACGTAAAACCAGGTGAGCAGCACGCATGCGCACACCGGAAACCGGAAGCTCAGCTTCCCGGTGCACCCATTCGCGCCAGGGAGCTGCTCTTCCTGTTTCTGATGCTCTGCCCCACGGACTCCCGTTTCAGCACTTGCTGCCAAAAAAGGTTCGCCAACACTGCCATATTTGGGGATTTTCCAACAAGGTAAGAAGAGCCCAGAACGAACCCCTCTGATTGATTTCTCACGGTTTCAGCAAACTTACTGTTGTGGCCCACCAGCAGTCAGCAAGAGCTGGCGGCAGATTCAGACAGTGAGGAGGTTGGGGAGGAACATGGGCCAGTCCTGGAGTCTGGGGAAGGCTCTGATGAGGGCTCTGCATCGGAGGCAGAGAGGGGGACAGAGCCGTCTGCCAGTTATCAGCTGCCTTCGGAGTCAGACATCAGTGAGGCAGACGAACAGCTGGGGCCTGTTCCCAGAGTGTGCATGCACAGAGCTGCCAGACGAAGGGAACAGCTAAAGAACAAGGGTCGACTCAGGAGTAAAGCCACAGATGGACGGTGAATGGCCCCTCCCAGAGGGAATAAAAAAGGAGCGAAAGGGGAGCGGGGATAATTTGCAGGAGACAATTAGTTCGCTTAATTGGTTCGTGACTCCTTGCCAAGTTTTGAAGATATCGGCCTGGCAGCTCTCCAAGCCAGATGAGGTCTGTGACGGTAAATTCAACCCTTGAAAGACTTAGCTGGATGTGAATGAGAAGAATTCACAGTCACTTAATAAAAAGGGGTTTTTGTCGGGAGAAGGAGTCTGCTTCGTAGTTTGGGGAAGCCTAGGTCAAAACACTTACACCACTCTCTGTTTCCTGCGCTGTAAGAGCATTCTCCAGTCCTCTGACCTTCATGGAACCTGTCAACGATGCCCCTGAGATGTTATCTGCTGGTCCTTTGATATGCATGGAACCCATCAGCGACTTGCCTCCTTTGAAGTGCATGGAGCCCATCATGGACTTCCCTGCGTAGCTGCTGGCCGGACCCTGGATGTTCATGGACCCCGTGACTGTGTTTTCTGGGTCACCGTAAGCTGCCCCGCTGACCTGCATGGAACCCTCAACCATTTTCTCACTGTCTTCCTTTGGGGTGGAAGGAACCTCCCTGGACTTAGTTTTCGACATCTTCCTTTCTTTTTCATGTTGTGAGGGTTGAGTTTCAAGACTGGACGTTCTCAGGAACAAACACAGACGCACAACGCATGCATAAAATAAAAGAGGAACAAAAGAAGAAGAGAGGGAAGTGTCTATAGCAATAGCACTTTAGACTTATATACCGCTTTATAGTGCCTGACAGCCCTCTCTAAGCGGTTTACAGAGTCAGCCTCTTGCCCCGCAAAATCAGGGTCCTCATTTTACCTTGGAAGGCTGAGTCAACCTTGAGCTGGTCAGGATCGAACTCCTGGCAGTGGGCAGAGATAGCCTACACACTACATTGTAACAGCTGCACCACTATGGCTTGCTTGCTTGCTTGCTTGCTTGCTTGCTTGCTTCCTTCCTTCCTTCCTTCCTTCCTTCCTTCCTTCCTTCCTTCCTTCCTTCCTTCCTCCTTCCTTCCCAAGCTATAGCAGACTTATATGCTGCTTCACAGTGCTTTTATAGCCCTCTCTAAGTGGTTTACACAATCAGCATCTTTCCCCCAACAATCTGGGTCCTCATTTTACCCACCTCGGAAGGATGGAAGGATGAGTCAACCTTGAGTCGGTCAGGATCGAACTCCTGGCAGTGGGCAGAGATAGCCTGCAACATTGCATTGTAACAACTGCACCACTATGCCTTCCTTCCTTCCTTCCTTCCTTCCTTCCTTCCTTCCTTCCTTCCTTCCTTCCTTCCTTCCCAAGCTATAGCAGACTTATATACCGCTTCACAGTGCTTTGCAGCCCTTTCTAAGCGGTTTACAGAGTCAGCCTCTTGCCCCAACAATCTGGGTCCTCACTTTATCAACCTCGGAAGGATGGAAGGTTGAGTCAAACTGGAGCTGGTCAGGATCAAATTCCTGGCAGTGGGCAGAGTTAGCCTGAAATATTCTAATCATTGCGCCAGGAAGGGAGGAAGGGAGGGAGGGAGGGAGGGAGGGAGGGAGGGAGGGAGGGAGGAAGGAAGGAAGGAAGGAAGGAAGGAAGGAAGGAAGGAAGGAAGGAAGGAAGGAAGGAAGGAGGGCTGAGTCAACTTTGAGCCTGGTGAGATTTGAACTGCCAAACCGCAGGCAGCCGGCAGTTGGCAGAAGTAGCCTGCAGTACTGCATTCTAACCACTGCGCCACCGTGGCTCTCCCCAGCTCTCTAGATCAGAAGGATGTGACTCTAAGCAAACTAAAAACTTTGGGCTGGAGGTATTCCTCACCCATTGCTTAATTAACTTCTGGTAGTTCCAGCTTCTTTCCTACAACATTCCTCAGCTATGAAAATAGGGACAGGACCCCTGCACGTTTTTCCTCCAATCAACAAGAACAACTACTTGGTCAAAAACAGGTTGGTGCTACTACCAGCAAATTTATTCTTGCTGGAAAAACTGATCAGCCCAATGGCTAATTGGCAGAATGGCTCAGGGGAAGAGGAGGAAAGAGAGAATGTGATTATGATGCATTGCAAAGATGCACACCTAGAATCCTGCATCCAGTTTTGGTCCCCACACTATAAAAAAAGAGGTTGAGACTCTAGAAAAAGTGCAGAGAAGAGCAACCAGGATGATGAGGGGACTGGAGGGGGTCAAGCTATTCTCCAAAGCACCTGAAGGCCAGACAAGGAATAATGGATGGAAACTGACCAAGGAGAGATTCAACCTGGAAATAAGGAGAGATTTTCTGACAAGGAGAGCAATCAACCCATGGAACAGAAGTTGCCTTCAGAAGTTGTGGGAGCTTCATCCCTGGAAGCTTTCAAGAAGTGATTGGACTGCCATCTGTCAGAAATGGTGTAGGGTCTCCTCCTTGGGTGGGGGGGTTGGACTAGATGACCTACAAGGTCCTTCCAACTTTGTTAAATCTGTTAAATCTGATGCCCATGTGAATGGGCAAGCTTGGACCTCATCCTGTCTGACAGAGGAGAAGAGAGCTACTCCTATGACTTTCATTCATCCCTGCCTAACGGAACCCAATCCACTTCTTGGCTTGCCCAATCCTCAAGTTACCATAACACTCTGGAGTCTTGGGTACAATTCTTTTTGTGATGTTCCAGGCAGATGTTCTTGCCTTTGGAGGTCACATCGTCCAAGACATCCTCCCACCAACCTCTCTAGGCTCCTAATGGAGCCAGATGGGCCTGGAGCTTGATTGGCTGAAGGTTCTTAGATGAGAGGTGGAGTCACAATGAAGCTCACTGCTTGCCTAAACATCCATAGGCTGATTTTATGTATTTATTTATTTGTATATCGCTTTTATTATTTTTTGCAAAATAACTCGGGGAGGGGGGGCAAACATATCCACCACACCTTCCTCCTCTTATTTTCCCCACAGTAATAACCCTGTGAGGTGGCTAAGACTAAGAGAAAGTGGTTGGTTCAAAGTCACCCAATCAGCTTTCATGGCTAAAGCGGGACTAGAACTCACAGTCTCTAGTGATTGGCCCAGAGTCACTCAGTTGGCTTTCATGGCTAAGGCGGGACTAGAATTCACCATCTCCTAGTGATTGGCCCAAAGTCATCCAGCTGACTTTCATGGCTAAGGCGGGACTAGAATTCACCATCTCCTAGTGATTGGCCCAGAGTCACTCAGTTGGCTTTCATGGCTAAGGCGGGACTAGAACTCACAGTCTCCTAGTGGTTGGCCCAGAGTCATTCAGTTGGCTTTCATGGCTAAGGCGGGACTAGAACTCACAGTCTCCTAGTGATTGGCCCAGAGTCACTCAGTTGGCTTTCATGGCTAAGGCGGGACTAGAATTCACCATCTCCTAGTGATTGGCCCAAAGTCATCCAGCTGACTTTCATGGCTAAGGCGGGACTAGAATTCACCATCTCCTAGTGATGGCCAGAGTCACTCAGTTGGCTTTCATGGCTAAGGCGGGACTAGAACTCACAGTCTCCTAGTGGTTGGCCCAGAGTCATTCAGTTGGCTTTCATGGCTAAGGCGGGACTAGAACTCACAGTCTCCTAGTGATTGGCCCAGAGTCACTCAGTTGGCTTTCATGGCTAAGGCGGGACTAGAATTCACCATCTCCTAGTGATTGGCCCAAAGTCATCCAGCTGACTTTCATGGCTAAGGCGGGACTAGAATTCACCATCTCCTAGTGATTGGCCCAGAGTCACTCAGTTGGCTTTCATGGCTAAGGCGGGACTAGAACTCACAGTCTCCTAGTGATTGGCCCAGAGTCACCCAGCTGGCTTTCATGGTTAAGACGGGACTAGAATTCCTGTTTTCTAGTCTGGTTCCTTATTGCCACATCAAACACATACTATACATTCCAAACCTCAAAACCACTTTTTAGAGTGATATCTAACAGCTCAGGCTGGCATTTTTGACACTGCTTCTTCTGTTATCGCAAAGGTGCTTTCTTTCAAATGGCAGCTGGACTTTCTTGTTTTGCTAGAAGACGTTTCGCTTCTCGACCAGAAGCTTCCTCAGTTCCGACTGAAGGGGGGGAAATGGAAGGATTTATATTCCTCGCCGTCATCTTCTGGAGGGCACAGTTAACCTTTCAAATGGCCTCAACGACTCTCAGAAAGAGTGCTAACGACCAGATGACGACGTGGAATATAAATCCCTCCATTTTCCTTCCATTCAGTCAGAACTGAGGAAGCTTATTTGGTTAAGAAGCAAAACCTCTTCTAGCAAAAGAAGCTGTTACAATGTAATAAGGGTTAACCAGAGAGGCAGTTTCTGTAAGCAGGGCAATAAAGATTAGGCTAGAAACACCACCAGAATGTTTCCTTCCTGCCTTCCTTACAGGATTAGCCCTGTAAAGCGGGGGAAAAACAAAATAAGATTTCTTCTGAACTACTTAGAAAGTTAACAACCGGTTCTACCGAATAGGTGCGAACTGGCTGAATCCCACCACAGGAGCCACTGGTTTACATTATTCACGTAATGTGCCTCCCACATTTCGTATGGCACAACGTCCCCCCTCTGAAAATGTTCCTCAGTTGAATGTTCAGGGTCTTAATCAAACCCTTCAACAATGACATCCTACGGCTTCTCGAATTACCATATTTTTCGGAGTATAAGATGCACTTTTTCCCCCTTTAAAAGAGTGTGAAAATTTCGGCGCATCTTATATACCGAATGTAGCCAAAAACACGAGGCACAGAGGCGGCGATGGTCTGTGGCAATCCCTGCAGCCTGGAATAGCTGATTGGGGGTATTCCAGGAGGCCGATCCACCCACCAATCAGCTGCTCGTGCTGAATCAGGCTGCAATAATGTACTGAAGCTGACCTGGCTGTTTGCTGTTTGCTGCAAGGACGTGTCAGAGTTTCCAGCAGCAATCACATCCAGAAAGCACACACAAGTAACCGATTCAGCAGGATTCAATAACTTCTCTTTATATATAATATAACACATGAAGTAAACATACAATACCAAAAGCAGGTTTTCCAATGTGGGTAGTAAATACAAGCAAAACACAAGCAGAGGAGAGGAGTTTCAGTTTCAGTTTTGAGCAGCAGACTAGTTTACAGCTCAGCACAGGCTCAGAACTGGAGAGCTAAGCCACGCCCAGGCTCCTTGCTGTCTCCTTCCTTGTTGCTCACACAGCAAATATTGTTTCAGTTTCCAAACAGCCCTCAACTCTCTCACACACTGACAGGACGCTATCCAAACGAATACAGATGGATGCTGGTAGGCAGAGGCAGATTTTTCCCCCCCCCCTCATTTTCCTCCCAAAAAACTAAGGTGCATCTTATACTCCGAAAAATATGGTATGCTTTAACCGGTTGGTTAAATCTGGCTGTCATTTTAAGCCATACTGGTCCATTGCATCAACACACTCATTATTAATATGGTTATTTTTTACTAAATATTAGTACAGCAAAGGAAACAACAACTTACAATAAAGTAAAAAGGTAGGTTACCAATCAGGTAAGCATTTTCCAATAGAAAGAAGAGATAACCCAGATCCAGATCCAGAAACTAGAATATCCCCAGTCAAAGCAACTTCCATTGTAGCGTTATATAATTAGCCTTAGACAGGTAGTCCTCAGCTTACGACCACAATTGAATCCAAAATCTCTGTTGCTAAGTGAGACATTTGTGAAGCGGGTTTTGTCCCATTTTACGACTTTTCTTGCCGCGGTTGTTAAGTGAATCACTGCGGTTCTTAAAGTGGTAACCAGATGCTTAAGTGAATCTGGCTGACTTGGCTTATCAGAAGGTCGCAAAAGGGGATCACACACCTCTGGAACATTGCAACCGTCATAAAGGTGAATCATTTGTCAAGCATCGGATGTACATCACGTGACCGTGGGGAATGCTGCAATGGTCACAAGTGTGAAAAATGGTCATAAGTCACTTTTTTTCAGTGCCGTTGTAACTTCAAACGGTCACTAAATGAACTGTTGTAAGTCAAGGACTAACTGTATCAGTATATTAATACATATTGACACATATTTTGCATTTCAAAGACTCTCGTCAAGCGCCGGGGAAATCAGGAGATTCAGGTAGTTCAAACAAGTATAAAGATTCATTGCAAACGAAAGCTTTCTACAAGAATCTGGCCAACTAACAGTCAAGGGAAACGAGCGGGTGATAGGAAAGGCATTCAAGATGGGCTGGATTTAGATCTCTTACGGGCGTGCATGGACTCGTGACTTATGACGCATTTGACTCCTCCCTTGAGCACAGCCTGGTCATCTTCTCCTACAACCCTAAGTTCAATCGTTGACACGAGAGTTAGAAAGACTCCCATTTAAAATCCAGGACAGGTGCTGCCAATCAGGGTCAGCCATAGAGGTGATATATATATAGAGAGAGAGTCTGCTTTAGAAAAGCGTAACGACAATTTCAACCTGCCTAAAAAAAGGCCCGTAATTCAAACCTTGGTATCTCCAGTTAGGGATGTTCTAGGTCAATGATGGCGAACCTTTTCGGGCACTCGTTACGCAGACACACACACACACACACATGCTCGTCAGGGCCGCGCTCCTGAAAAGCCAAACTTCCGGATTCTAGCGCACATGCGCGCCTGACAATCAGCATGCACAGGCTGGTTTTTGGTGCTGCTGAGGTAAATAGCAAATAAAGAATAATGTAGATAAAAGAAATAATGTGAATAAAATAGGAATCATACAGAGTCAGATATATGGGCTCTGGGGGACACTCCCTATTCACATTATTATAAGGGAAAGACATGCTTGGATACATGAACTCTGAGAGACCCTATCTATTCGCATTATTATAAGAGAGGAAAGTGCTTGTTGGAAATTACATTAACAAACAGTTAAACCCCTTTAAGTGGTAATATATCTTCTGAGACCTAGATGTCACGGAAAGGACTGCTATATGGAAAAACATCTGAGTGACCTGACTGTGAATGACACAAAGACCTATATGTTACAAAGAGTTATTTAATCCAATGAATTTACCCAAGGATAGTAGTAACTCTCCCATTAGCAACTCTGAGCACTTAAGAAAAGTTGTGTGGCTAAGATAATTTTGTAAACTAAGATTAATGCTTTAAGTAATTAGATGAACTTATTATACAGTGTATGTAACCATAGAAGGAAAATCGGATGTATGATCTCATGATTAACCATATATGGAAAATGTATGATCTCACTGAATCCTTTGTCTTAGAAATGTATAAAAACCGTTGTATCAGAGTTCTTTCTTTGTTCAAAGCTTCAGGTACAAATCTGGCTCAGAACCTTGTGCAATAAAACTGTCTCTGGCTGACCCAGGAATGTTTTTTAGTCCTTCCATTCCACTACACAGCCGTGCGTGTGAGGGACAGCTGATCATCACACGCACATGCACGCCAGAAACCCAGAAGACAAACAGGTAAGGCCATGCGTGCCTGGGCCATCACAAGCCTAGGTCCTGCCACCAATCTTAGAAAACAGCACCCTTAGTTGAATTACACTCCGACTCCCTAGGAAACAGCCTCTAAAGATCAGAAAACCTTTACTCTTCTTCTTACAAAAAATAAAATAAAAAAAATAAATACCAGCATCCCAGCATCCTCCTCGTTTGAGAACCCCCTTTTTACCTTTTCCAGTTTCTCAAAATGTTCCCGCAAGAATTTCATTGGCCGGTCGGGTTTAGCGATGCAGAGGTTCACAATGCACTCTTTCAGGATTTGCTGGATGTTATGCTTCTGAACGTAGAGCTCGCATCCTTTCAAGCTCTCGTCTTCTTCTCCGTTGCAGGAGGAGGAGGAGGCGGCCGCCATTTTGGTGAGGGTCAACGGATGACAACCCTGGAGAGGAAGAGGAGGAGGTGGGATGTGAGAGGAGGGATGACATCCATCTTCAAATGCTTCCTGGAGAAGGAGATGCCTCCTCCGAGGGAAAAGCCACCCCCACCCCACCACCCTGCTCCCAGCTCTTTGAAAAGGTGTGGAAGCACATCATGTGTGATCTCCTCCGAAGTGCTGGAGCACCAGCAAATGCTCCACGGTTTACAAATCTCTTTATTCGAGATTTATTTTTTTAAAAAACCCACAGCCTCTTGTTTCCTCCAAGCTTTCTCTCTCATTCCTGCAGCCTGGAAGCCCAAAACCCAAACCTTTGCAGGCATCACTCCTTCCTGCGAGACAGATTTGCCGTTAACAATTGGGGAAAATAGAAGAATACGGGCTCATAGAAATTGGATTTTGGGTTTTTTTCTCCCTTTGAGGCCTCAAAATCTACCCTCGTGGTTCAAATCGCTGCATGGCCATCACATCTTTAACCGTTCAGCAGTATCCCTCCTGCATCCTTCGGTTGGTTGGGCAGACTCAACACCCAGAGCTGCTCTAGTGTTACCTCCCGAGAAAACATGGTTATTTCGTATCTCACAGGAAGGAAGCCATCTCTTCCTCGCTGGAGTCAGCCAGCTGAATTTCTCACATGGGTTTCTACCAGTGCTTTCTATTTATTTATTTATTTATTTATTTTGCAATGTTTCGGATGGCAGGTTCAACCCAAACAGAAAGGTTTTGTGAGAAACCCCTGGAATTTGCAAGAGCAGATTCCCCCCCCCCAACATCATTTGTTCATGGATTTTGGGGTCCAAGATTCCAAAGGTATTTCGGCTCGCGGGGACCCCTATCTCGAAGGAGTTCTCTTTGGAAGATGCTCAGGGCTATTAAAAACCACCAAACGCATCTTCCCGTCAGAGAATAACAGCGTGTAGTCTTCCACCGAATCTTTCGAAGGCAGAATCGGAATTAAATTTTCGATTCGATTCTCTCTGCTGTCTTCAAAGAGGGCAGAGTCGGGGAGATCCCCGTTTCCTTTGGGGGGGTGAGGTTTAAAACAAATGAACAAACAAAAAGCAAGCACCTTTTTCTCCAAAAAGCACCCCAAGATTATCAAGCCTGATTTATTATTGCATTATTTTGAAATGGTGGGGGTAAGAACTCCCCCCACACACACACACACAATCTCCAGCATGCTTGCTTTTCTCCCTGGTTAACTGCATGGAAAGGGAATGGAAAAACCTTCCCCCTGTAAATCTTTGGTCCTTTGCCTCCATCAGCAATAGCTCTCTTGTGCAGAATTAAATCTCAGCCATTGTTGCTGGGAGAAGGAGGGAAGGAGGATGGAGAGAGAGAGAGAGAGAGAGAGAAGGAGAGAGAGACAAAAGAGCATGCAAATATACACAAAGGAGAGAGTGGGGGTGGGGGGGTAAGGGCAGGCTTGGATGGACAAGGAGTATATAAATACCTGGTGTTTGGCTCAGCTAGCAGCTTCTTCCAGCTCCGTTATTCGCAGTAGAAATCTCGTCTAGCTGTTAGGTAGCTTGAGATGGGGGGGGGGTACATCTCCCTCTCCCCACAATGTTCTGGGTATCTTCTTGGGGGGGAGGTAAAAAAAATCCCCAGCTAAAAGACAATGGAGTCAGGCAGTCACCCCCGTCCTTAGATGATCTCACTGTCTATTTTTTCCCCCAACTCCCCCTCTGAATATGTGTTTCCCTCTCCCCCTCCCCTTTTGCACACAAAGGGTTAAAAGAAAAAAAATCTCTGACTCCCAACATCCATTCCTTGCGCAGAAAGTTACCCCCGTCATACCAAGCTCAGCCTCTCTCTCTCTCTTTTTTTTTTTCTCTCCTGCAGGGAAAAAATAAACTCCCAACTGGAAAGGAACCAGCTCTGTTGGATGAGATCCAATGGGGGATTCCCAACTGGGAGAAAATCTGCATCCTTTGAGGAGGTGGAAATGAAGATTCAGAGGTGGGCAGTGGGGCGGTGGGCAATTCCCCCCCCCCAAAGAACTGGGTTTTGCTTGGAGTGTCGTTTTAATGTGTGGCACCAGTTAAATTATTTAAAAAAAAAAAAAAAAGCTTATTGGTGAATATCAAGTCAGGGTTGGAAGGATGAAAAAAAAGAGGGGACCATTTTTATCACGCAAAGTAGACTTGTGAAAAAAAGCAAAAGAAATGGGTGCAAATTCATACAGTGGCGCAGATGTTACAGACGGATGTCACGATTTAAGCAGAATTATTCTTACTGGGATTTAGGGAGAAGGAATTAGAAAATAAATATGGGAAATTCATGCAGTCTGTCGTAATTGAGGTGAGATATGCAAAAAAAATTGAAAAAGCATAGAATGACAAGTGGAAGATTTAAAAATTAACTCAGTTTGGATAAATGGCACAGCTGACCTATTTGACTTAAAAAAAAAAAAGACTAGAATCCTAAAATAGGCTTTTTGGCATTTGTACTCAAATAATATCACAAAAATGACTGAATAGAAAACAGTTACTAGTGTCCTATTGAGTAATAATTGCAGGACCTCAGTAATTTATTCATAAATATCTTTTTAAAAAATATATAACTTTGTTTTAAATAAAAGCATTGTAATAATAAATAATAAAAGAAGCAGAGTAGTTTTGACGCAGTTCTTGAAAGTTACAAATGTATTTATTTATATTGGTGTATATATTGTATCACTGTCAATGTGTATTTTGCAACGTTAGATATGCCAAAGAATACATTTGCAATCCATAAACAGAGTCATCCTCCTGGACAGCATACTAATAATTCTATTTTTTTAAAAAAATGTCATTCCAACATCACAGAAAACCAGGGTGGAAGGAGGCACTTTTTTGCAAACATTTTTGGGAATCTGGCAATGCCTTGCACACAGGATTTGAACACAGCATGTTAATTATATAGGAGCCTTGGTGGCGCAGCAGACTAAAGCACTGTTAAGTAATACCAGCTGCCTGCAATTACTGCAAGTTCAAATCTCACCAGGCTCAAGGTTGACTCAGCCTTCCATCCTTTCTAAGGTGGGTAAAATGAGGACCCGATTTGTGGGGGCAATAAGCTGACTTTGTATAAATATACAAAAGTATGAAGGCTATTGCTTAACGCATTGTAAGCCGCCCTGAGTCTCCGGAGAAGGGCGGCATATAAAATCGAACCAAATAAATATATAAATAAATAAAATTAAAGCTGCTTTATCACGTGTTTTTTTAATTTTACTTTGTTTTCTTTTACTTTAAGCAAAACTGAGCAGCAAATTCCACACTTATGACTATAACCATGTTGCTTGTATCTTTCAATCTATATTGTTTTTATTTGTTTCCTAGTATGATTTGATTGCTTATTAGTAACTTATGACTATCACTAAGTGTTGTATCTTTTTATTCTTGATGAATGTATTTTATTCTCCTTATATACCGAGAGCATATACACCTAAGACAAATTCCTTGTGTGTCCAATCACACTTGGCCAACAAAGAATTCTATTCTATTCTATTCTATTCTATTCTATTCTATTCTATTCTATTCTATTCTATTCTATTCTATTCTATTCTATTCTATTCTCTATTCCATCCCATGCTATTTTCTACTCTACTCTACCCTACCCTATCTTATCCTATTATCCTCTTCTCTTCTCTTCTCATTCTCTTCTCTTTTCTCTTCTCTTCTCTTCTATTCTATCCCATGCTATTTTCTACTCTACTCTACCCTATCTTATCCTATTATTATCCTCTTCTCTTTTCTTCTCTTCTCTCTCATTCTCTTTTCTTTTCTCTTCTCTTCTATTCTCTATTCCATCCCATGCTATTTTCCACTCTACTCTATCCTGCCCTATCTTATCTATTATTATCCTCCTCCTCTCCTCTTCTCTCTCATTCTCTTCTATTGTATTTTATTCTATTTCTATTCCATTCCATTCCATTCCACTATTCTATTCTATTCTATTCTATTCTATTCTATTCTATTCTATTCTATTCTATTCTATTCTATTCTATTCTATTCTATTCTATTCTATATTCCACCCCATGCTATTTTCTACTCTACTCTACCCTTTCCTATCCTATTATTATCCTCTTTTCTCTTCTCTTCTCTTCGTCCCTTTTTTCAGAGCCACTGTAACATTGAGCAGGCAGGGCTACTTATACAGAAATGTTCATCTCCTAGAGCGGAGGTCTTCAAACTTGTGCAGCTTTAAGACTTGTGGACTTCAACTCCAGGGGACTCTTGCCTTAGAGCAGGGGTGGGCCATTGTGGCTCTTTTACAACCCGTGGACTTCAACTCCCAGAATTCCTGAGACAGCCAAGCTGGCTCAGGAATTCTGGGAGTTAAAAGTCCACAGGTTGTAAAAGAGCCACAATGGCCCACCCCTGCCCTAGAGAATGCTGGGAGCTGAAGTCCTTCTCTTCCTCCCCACCACCACCACCACCACTCAGGAAGCCTGAGGCAGAACCTGACCCCGCCTTCCGGCCCGGCCGTCAAGCGCGGAAGGGGGGGCCGTCAAGCGCGTCGCCTGTCGCAAAAAAAAAAAACCCGCCGCGCGGGCCCTTAGCAACGGCCCGGCGGCCTAGCAACGCGTGTGCTTTTTCCCCAGCCCTCAGCATGGCCGAGCCGGGCGAAGAGGCCCGCGTCATTTCTGCGGCCGAGCTCGGCCAAGCGGTGTCGCGGCAGCTGCTGGGGCTGCAGGAGGAGTCTCGGTCGGCTCGGCTGCGGGCTCTGGGCTCCCTGAGGGCCTTGCTGACGGAAGGGCCTCCGCCGGCGGTGCGCGAGGTCTTCGGGCCGGCCTTGCTGAGGCCTCTGAGCCGCTGCCTGACGGGAGACCCGGCCGAGCGGTGCCGCGAGCTGGCGCTGGAGCTGCTCCGCCTGGGGCTGGCTCAGGGCGCCCAGCCGTCCGAGGCGCTGCCCGTGTTGATGCCGGCGCTGGCTCAGCGGCTCGGGCTGCCTCAGGGCCCCGGCGAGGCCTGCGAGGAGCTCCGCCTCGGCCTCCTGCAGCTCCTCACCGAGCTCCTCCGGCGCTGCGACCGACGCGCCCTGGCGCCTTTCCTGCCCGAGGCGGTGGGCGTCCTCCGGGCGGCCCTGCTCGACCCTTTCCCGCCCGCCAAGCGAGAGGGCTGCCAGGCGGCCTCCGCAGCCGCCGCCGCCCTGCCAGGTGGGGCTCTGCTCCCCCCACGCAGCTCTCGCACCCGGGGCCCGGCCGGCGGAGGATGGGACGGGGGGAAGGGAAGGGAGAGGGAGGGCTGTTCTTCTGGAGGTTATGATGCTGTGGAGCTTTTTTGTCCCGCCGTAAGTCTGTGTATGCGGGTCTTGTGTGTGTGGATTTATATTTGATATATATACTGGGTGGGTGGGAGTGAGAGAGAGAGAGAGAGAGAGAGCGATGATAGATAGATAGATAGATAGATAGATAGATAGATAGATAGATAGATATCAGAGATAGAGATAGACAGACAGACAGATAGATGATAGATTGATAGATGATAGATAGATGATAGATTGATAGATGATAGATAGATGATAGATAGATAGATAGATAGGTATCAGAGATAGAGATAGATGAGAGATAGACAGACAGAGATAGATTGATAGATGATAGATAGATAGGTATCAGAGATAGAGATAGATGAGAGATAGACAGACAGACAGATGATAGATTGATAGATGATAGATAGATAGAGATCAGAGATAGAGATAGATGAGAGATAGACAGACAGACAGATAGATTGATAGATGATAGATAGATAGGTATCAGAGATAGATATAGATGAGAGACAGACAGACAGATGATAGATAGATAGATCATAGATAGATGATAGATTGATAGATGATAGATAGAGATCAGAGATAGAGATAGATGAGAGATAGACAGACAGACAGATAGATTGATAGATGATAGATAGATTGATAGATGATAGATAGATAGATAGGTATCAGAGATAGATAGAGATGAGAGATAGACAGACAGATGATAGATAGATGATAGATAGATAGATGATAGATTGATAGATGATAGATAGAGATCAGAGATAGAGATAGATGAGAGATAGATAGACAGACAGACAGATGATAGATTGATAGATATAGATGAGAGATGGATGGATGGATAGATAGGAGAAAGATGAGATAGAGATGATAGATAGATGATAGAGATAGATATGATAGATAGATAGATATGAGAGAGAGATGAGATAAGAGATGAGAGAGATAGAAGATAGGTAGATGAGAGAGAGAGAGATGAGAGATAGATAGAGCTGATTGATAGATGATAGATAGATAGATAGATAGATAGATAGATAGATAGATAATACCGTGCATACATACAGGCTGCCTGGAATTGCCCTTTATTAAGATGTGTGGCCAATTAATTCAATGACAGGCATACCTGACATTCCTGACTGACTATAGATCAGGGGTGGCCAACCTTAGCGACTTTTAAGACTTGAGGACATCCTTTCTCAGAGCTCTTTGGTTGGCCAGAGAATGATGGGAATTGAAATCACACCAGTCTTAAAAGATGCCTAGGTAGGTACGATATAGGTAGGTAGGTAGATGGGTGGATGGGTGGATGGATGGAGGGTGGGTTGGTAGATGATAGATAGATAGATAGATAGATAGATAGATAGATAGATAGATAGATAGATATTTTTTACATATACTGGCCCATAAAAACTATTGTATGTATGGGTCAAT